TTTTTCTTCTGTTCGCTCACTTTGCATTTTGTAAATTGATAAATATAAACAATTACAATATGTATTTCTGAAAGCATTCTTATTTTACAGCATTTTTTCACACCTGCCTAAAACTTTTGCACGGTACTGTATACTGACTGATGAACTTATTAATCTAAAAAACTATGAGCACTGCCAAATTTTTGGTTCTTATTGCTGTCATCTTTTTTTCACCCCATGTGATGGATAGCATGAGCGGGGAAGATTCCGGAATGGAGCTTCAAGGTTGTCAGGAGGGAGGAGAGACATTCCAGGGCAAGCACCTCCTCAGCCCGCAACAAGACTGTAGGAAAACAAAGAGGCTGGGGCTGGCTCCTCCCTAGAGCCTCATGGAGTATATTCTCTAGTAGCTGTAGATAAGTTTAGTCTGGCGAGATTCTAATAGATAATAGTCAATAAAGGAACAGTACAGCACTGGATGGCCTCGTTGTGGTTCTTGGGCTGAACCTGACATCAATCTCGCCAGATTCAACTTATCTACAGCTACTAGAGAATATACTCTGTGAGGCTCTAGGGAGGACCCAGCCCCATCCTCTTCGTTTTCCTACAGTCTTGTTGCGGGCTGAGGAGGTGCTTACCCTGGAATGCCCACTCCTGACAACCTTGAAGCTCCATTCCGGAATCTTCCCTGCTCATGCTATCCATGACACCCCATCACTTACTAATGAAATGTGTCATCCTTCTGTGTCTATAGAAAAACAGGATTTTCCTGCCTCTTTCCATGTTCATCCTTACTATTTAGTGGCTAGATCTGCATATGCTAAGCCATAATGCATAGGTTTGGCATAATATGAAATGTAAATTAATCCACTTGCTTATAAACCACATTTTATAAACTTAATAAAATATACTTATCATTATGAAAGCTTCCCTCAAGTCAATTCAGTTGCTGCAATTTCACAAACACATTTCTGTAACTTTCTTAACAGCAGTAAGGAAGTGGTTTGTCACTGTCTTACCTGGGCTACGTTTCAACTTCCTACTCTAGTTTATAACCCCAAACAGTCACTGAGTGTCACTCCCCTAAATACAAGCCAGGCCCAATCCTGCCAAGCCCAGACAAAGTTGGCTAGGTGCTTCCACCTAGCTAACTCTATACTGTATGAACCTAGCCAACTGTGTTTTATTAAATAAACCATAATTTAAAAAAAAACCAGTAAGATGTTCAGACCAACATACCTGGTTAAAAATCACAATCATATCCTGATTGTAATATACATATGAGACACAGAAAACACTAAGCTAAAATGCGTCACACATAAGTCTGTTCTGGGTGGGCGAGAAAAGGACCCAACATGTAAGCATATTTTAAAAAGCAATCAAAGCTCACAGAGAGCTGCTTCTTCAATGCTTTTTCCTTGTGCAATTTCTCATTTGACATTAGTTAATAAAACCAAATTCTTACGTCAGAGTTTTGTGTATTTGTTCTATGGCATCTTCTAATTCTTCTTTCTGATCAGGAACAAAGCGGTACTCCGAAACATATCCTGCAGTGTGCTTGCATGGATCATAGTCTCCAAGTTCAGCTATTCAATGCATACAAAAATATGATTTCTTTAATTGCATACTTTTGCACAGATATCCACATAAAATATTTTACTGGAATTACTCAATTGAAAATAATCCAAATTAATATAGATTATAGCATTTAATTAGAAAACAAATACATGAATATGGAGGAGAGAATGAGAAAAGGAACGTGAGAGAGGAAAAGGAAGAGAAGAGACAGAATCATTCACACAGAAAGAAATTAAGTATGGATCCCATCTTACATGTTGCATTGAAGTAGCCATACAGGTAAACCTCGTTTACCAACTGCCTCATTCGGCAACCATTCAAAGTTACGATGGTACTGAAAAAATAACCTTACAATGAATGCCCACATATATGTACTTTGGAGTGTCCCTCAGTCATGTAATCACCATTACAGTCAGTACATGATAACCTGTTGTTGGGGCAGCCAGAGGAGAGAATGCTTACAGAGGTAGCTTGTTTTTGTTTTTTTTTCCTCCCCCTCCCCCCACCTTGCAGAGCAGAGGGACTGCTTAAACAAGCGAGGGAGAGGGGAAAAAAAACAAGTGATCTCTGCAGGCAATCTCTCCTGTGCCTGACCCGTTTTTTTTTTCCTTGCCCCCCTCTGCAAAGTGGAGAAATTGGACAGGAAGAGATTACAAGAGAGTAAGCAGGCACACAATGGAGAATATACTAGGCTGTTTGCATAGCATGTGCGCGGCTCCCAGCACCGCTGCATTCCTTTTGATGTGTATTTCTCATTGTGTGCCTTTTTACTCTCTTGTAATCCCTTCTTCTCCAATGAATG